GGTGGCCAATTCGTCATCATGGCGAGGTGGAATCGTCTGATCACATGGGGCCTTCTCTTAATCTTCCTTCAGGTGGCTGTTGCTCAAGCCTTGGTGCCCGTCAGACGTCAGGAGAGTGGGACTACAACAGCAGCCGTTGCCTCTTCTACTTTGTCACGAAGCGCACAAGATGCTGAGACTACTACATCACCGGCATCTTCAATAAGGACAATGGCAGTCGCTACCACCGAGTCGCCTTCTGTTTCCGCTACGGTCTCTAGTCCTCCCATCATCCCAACTAGCGGCAGCACCTCTGGAAACTCAAGCCTTGACAATTGTAAGTGGACATCTGATCAAACACTAAGTGCTCAGATCAATCCCTAGAAAAGGCTGACAGTTGCTACAGCTACCATAACGGAAGGAGAGCTACCTGTTGAGCCAAAAGTCACACCAGGTTGGGCTGTAGCTGGTGTCATCTTGCTCTGCACCGGGGTCATCTACAGCTTGATTGGTATCAAGAATACAGTCCTGCACACTGCCTTCTCCGTTGCGTACGTCGTCGGCTTGGGTATCACAGTCTTGGTCGTCTATGTCATGGTTATTCCTGTTTCCAACGGATCCCAAGGAGCGTATGTCGTCGCAGCAGTCTTACCGGCCGTCGCAGTTGGCGTTCTCGCTTCCTGGTTCTTCAAGGAAATCACGGAATGCCTGGGATGTGCTCTCGGCGGATTCTGCTTCTCAATGTGGCTGCTTTGTCTCCATGACGGCGGCTTGCTTACGGGAGTCGGCAAAGTCATTTTCATCATTGCTTTCTCACTAGTGGGCTTTGCATTGTACTTCAGCCGATGGACCCGGGACTGGGCGCTCATGTGTACAATCGCCTTCAGTGGTGCCACGGCAACTGTGCTCGGAATCGACTGCTTTAGCCGGGCCGGCCTAAAGGAGTTTTGGGCGTATATTTGGGATCTGAACGAAAACCTATTCCCTCAAGACACCACCACATACCCGCTGACAAAGGGCATTCGCGTTGAGGTTGCCGCTATAATTGTAATTTCCATTATCGGCGTCATTTCTCAGAAGAGATTGTGGAACGTCATCAAGGATAAACGCACGAAGCGGGAAGAGGAATTGGCCGAGGCTCAGCGTGCCCGTGATGACGAAGAGGCCAACATTGGAAGGGAGCTTGAGGCTCGCACCGCCTTGGAGCGACGGGCGTGGGAAAGAGCACACGGAGATTACACACCGGACAGCGATGACCACGACTCCGGCTTTGCTCGCGACAGTGAGAGCGAGAAGGCTATTCGATACAGCCAGAGCACCGCTACTCCCCGATCACACGCCCCTCACGTCGCTGAAATGCAAGGGTCGGATGTTCCTCCCACTGTTCCCCCACAGCCAGAATCTCCAGGTCTGATGGTTTCCGAAAAGGAGAAAGAAGTTGTTGTGACAGTACGCGTCGCTCCGGATGAAACTCACCCAGAAGCCGTCGCCGCGGACAAGGCCGCTGATCAGACGGGAGAAGTTTCCAAAGACGCTGCTGTTGTTCAGACTGTGCAAGAGGTGGCACCGGTTCCTGAAGTGGTACCTCTACCATTCAGGTTCCCGGATGAGGAGGCTCTAGCCAGAGACAGGGAGGAGCGGTCCACGATTGCAACCTTTGCCGACGATGATGAAGAGATTCAGGCAGGTGTCGGCAGCAAGCGGAGTTCTTTTGCGAAGCGACTCTCCCAGAGCTCGGTACAGCTGATGCGGAGGGTCTCTCAACGGACATCGATGTCGCATCGTAAGGAAGAAGATGGTGATGAGGAGCTGGCGGTGCTTCAACGTCCAAGGGATGACGACGCTGTTTCTCTCGCGGCAAATGTTGACACTCAGAGCGATAGCGGCGCCGGATCTGTGAGCGGTGAGCACCGGCGCAGCATTGAGATCAACGCACAGCTCTCTGGAGAGCAACAGTCGAGCATCAAGCCGGAGACTACTACATCAGCATCGGCATCTCGACGGAGCATCACCGACGGGGACTCTATTAGGCCAGTGTCAGCCATGACAGCTTCCACTGATATGCCAGTACAGTCTCTGGCCAAGGATGCAATTCCTGCTGCTGTCGAAGAGAGGGCGCCGGAAACCGCAGTCGATGGTGTCGCTCGAGAAAACAGCTCAGTGAAGCAGTCTAAGTCGGACGACAGTCGACAGCCCACCGTCCCTTCCCAGCAAGCCAGATCAACAGCCTCGCTTCATTCCACGCCCCTGAATCTTACCCAAGATCGTCTGCCGCCCAGCTTCTCCAACGTTGCGCTACACTACCGCACAAACGAATGGGCCAAGCACCTTAGCCACGCCGACGCGCCCGAGCCTGAGGTCCTGAAGGCCGGAGACGACAGACCGCAGACCCGGGAAGCCCCAGCTCCTGTGCACGTCGAGGAGCTTAAGCAAACGGCATTGTCCGCCACGCCTGCGCCTGCACCAGCTCCTTCGAGATCGCCCGCTCCCGTCGCGACACCTCCGCCGGCCTTGACCCGACCCAAGTCGACCCAGTCGCCGAATCGTGGCCACTCAAGGAACAGCTCGTACCAATCACATCGCCGTGCCTCAAGCAAAACGCAGTTCGAGCCCATTGCCGAGGAAGAACAACAGGCGCTCTCTCGAGCCGCGAGCACCAGGAGTGGCGCCTCCGGCATCGCTCCTTCAGCAACAGCCCCGGCTGTCTTTGTTCCGCCGCCACCGCCGCCCGGTATCATGTCTTATGATAGTCCCCAGAGCTTGATCGCACAGAGAAGCGTCGCTCTGCGTAATAAGACGTACGGAATCCTGACTGGCGCCAGTAACACTCCCGAGATCTCTGCCGCCTCCTATAGAGCACCCAGCGAAACCGGCTCCATGTACAACTACCCCGTCTACCCGTCGCAAATGCCGCCAGCTTCTTTGGACGACCTCCCATTGAGCCAGCGCAAGGAGATCATCCGCCGCCAGAGCAGCTTCGGCACAATGCGATCCTCTCTCGAAGGCTCCAGATCAGCCAGCGGCCCATACGTGCCCAGCGTCTCTGCCGACAACCTCGTATTCGACTCCCACCAGCCCATGCGCTACTCCAACGTCCCCTCGCAAGACGCCCGCGACGCCCGGCTCGCGAGCTTTCGGGACTCGGTCCGCGCCGATCTGCGTGCCGGCACGGCCTCCCCCGCGCCCGCCGCCAACGGCCGTGACATGGCGCTGAGCATGTTCCGGTCGCCGAGCGCGTCGAACCTGGCTGCTAGCCAGGCGGCCGCGCGCGAGGCTGAGGTGCAGAGGAACATTGATATGCAGCGGAGCTTCATGATGAGCCAGAAGGAGGCAGAGGCGAAGCGCAAGGAGAAGGCGAGGATCGATAAGGAGAGATCTGATCAGGCTTTCACGAGGAGCATGCAGAGCGGGGAGATGTTTGAGTTGCACCGCGAGGCGATGCGTAGGATGCAGAACCAAGCTAGGAATGCTTCGGGTGATGCATAATCCTTTTGATTTTTGATTTTATTCTTTTTATTCTTTTACTCTCTCTTACACAATATTGGTTGGTAGATACCCTGGTTTGGAAAAATACGGTTTACATCGCAGAAGGTTAGGGGGGAAACCATGGAAAAACAGCACGTCGGGAACACCGGTCAAGGATAACAGCATGATACAGAAGATGGAAAGATTACTTCTCTAGATGATGGGATACGAGGTTAAGAGGAAATGTGTGTATGACACAGGAGAAAGAGACTGAGGCGGGATAAGTTTGACCGCTAGTGATAGTCGTAAACGTGATTAGTAAAACCAACTTATTCAAATAATCTGTTCTCAAGCCATGCTCACAAGATCCGAGTTCATCTTGCTCTCTCGTATTGCGAATACTAAGTCTTCCTCTCAATGACTTTGCGGAAACCGGAGAACCGGGGACAGGAGATAGATGCTATGAGAGCACCTTTGGATGGTGTATCAAAAGCCGCGGAGCCGAGATGAAAGAAAAGTCCGGCCGAGAGCAACTGATTCACATGTGCTACAGCTCATCAATTACACGCCTGGAACGAATATCGGCCAAATCGGCACGACACCGATGCGGAGAAACCCCAAACTTCCTGGGCTTCAAAGGACGCAAGTGAAGCAGGTGTGCAGAATGTAGGTTGATGCCATATCCTCTATACCTAGGTAGTTATCTAAGGCAATGGATCTTTAACCATCCTTCCTCAGGATAGCTGAAAGCAAATCAAGGGTACTGCTACAATTTGATCATGATAGGACGGTGCATCCAGCATGCAATTTAAAGGTCTTGAGATACCGTCCACGATATCGATTCTCCAGCCCTCTCCAGTCACTCGATTCAATCAAAGAATGTGCCCTCTCTCCGAAATCTAATCAAACCTATACACAGTCTAGAGCTTACCATAGTTGTCTAAGATGGGGGAGCCTTACACTCGCAAGTCTCGCCTATGGCAACCTTCGGACGATACCGATGTCGGGATTCTCGCCGCACCCACGCCGCCCGGGTATAACCCGGCCCCGCCCTCGCGACGCGAAAGCAACGACTCAAACGAATGACCTGGGCGTTGGCGTCATCCATTCTCTTTCCCGCGCATTGCAATCAATCACCTAATCGTATCTGCGGAGGAAGACTTGTCCGGGGTTTGGGAAAGAGTACCTACTACTGTGTGCGACGGCCAAATGTTCGGCTTGCCGTACATGAAAGGGAGTTTTCGTACCCGTTGTGTTTTGGGACATGAAGTCGCTTTAACCTTAATCCAATACAACTTACCCTCTCGATATAAGTCTTGGCAACTCTTTACAGGCTAAACCTGCTTTCGACAATACTTATCTCGATAAATTAGATCGGTCAAAGATACGGAGGTCCTCCGGCCCCGCCACCACATTAAACCAACCCGACTATTTCACCATTAGAGAACTCCGCCTTTTGCGCCTGTCCCGACAACACACACACACACGCACACGCCTCCGATGTCTCACTCGGCCTGAGCCGGCGCGGGAGAAGTGAGTATATTTCTTTGAAAGCCATGGCCGGCCCCGTGGACGCCCGTGACGAGAGCGCAAAGCCTCAGTCCTCGACCGCGCCGACGTCGACGTGGGCACGCATTCGTATCAAGGCAGTCAAGATTTTCAAGCTCGTCTTGGCGCAATGGCTCGTTATCGGGTTTGCGCTCAGCTGTGTTTTTGCGTATTTTTTCCCGAGTAAGTTGGCATCTAAGAGTATATGTTTTGTGAGATGGAGAGTGAGAGAGGGAGACAGGATGAACTTGAAGCTGAGCACATGACTAACAAACTGAACTACAAGATGTCGCGGCTAGAGGTGGACCGATCAGGTCAGAGTACACCATCATCTACGGCGGCATCGCCATCATCTTCCTCGTCAGCGGGCTACAACTCTCGCATGCGAAGCTGAGGCAGAACGTAGCCAACTGGCGGTTGCATATTATTGTTCAGGGGATCAGCTTTATCGTCATCCCCGTGATCCTACTAAGTAAGTAACTCACTTGCGCGAACATGCCGCTCAGAAGCCTCTCATGGACTGGAAGCATGGTACGAAACGTCCTCCTCCAAACATAAACTAACACAACCCCCAAAGTTATCGTTCACATCATCATCGCAGCAGGCGGCCTCCGCACCCAAGCCCTCTCAACCCCCATCATCGTGGGCATGGTCGTCGCCTCCTGCCTCCCGACGACAATCGCCTCCAACGTCGTTATGACCCGCGCCTCGGGCGGCGACGACGCCGCCGCCATCATCGAGGTCGTCATCGGCAACGTGCTGGGCAGCTTCATCTCTCCTGGTCTGATTTACGGCTTCATCCCCAAGACGCCCGAGTTCGCCGACTGGCAGCCTGCGAATCCGAGTACCCTGGGCGCCATGTACGCCAATGTCCTGAAGCAGTTGGGTCTGAGTGTTTTGTTGCCGTTGGCTGTGGGACAGGTTGTGAGGTGGTTTTGGGAGAAGAAGGTCGATTGGGCGCTGAGGACGTTTTATCTTGCCAAGGTGTCGACGTTTTGTCTTATTCTGCTTGTTTGGTGAGTTGACGTTGCCCCTTTTTTCATGACTTGCCTCACTTCCCATCATCATCTCTTCATGGCCTTTGAGACTAAGACTCGTGTACAGGACAACCTTCTCAGCAGCCTTCAAGACAGGCGCCCTCTACGTAACCCCCCACCCCTCCATAATCTTCAACGTCTTCATGAACGTTGCCCTCTACGCCCTCTTCACCCTCATTTGCTTCTACGCCGCCCGCCCTCCCTTAGCGCTCTGCAACGCAATCAACCCCCGCCTCGCCGACTCCCGTCCCCTGCAGTCCCGTTGGGTGCCCAACTTCCTCCGGCGTGCCCTGACAGTCCGACAGCTGCCGAGGGAGCAGATGATTGCCGTATGCTTCTGCGGCGCGGCCAAGACGACGTCACTTGGTATTCCTTTGGCGACGGCTATGTGGACGCAGTCGGATGATTTGACGAGGGCACTGATTCAGATTCCGGTATTGTTGTATACTATTGAGCAGGTGTTTATGGCGCAGATTTTGGTGTATGTTTTCAAGTGGTATTTGAGGCGGGCTGCTAAGGCTGAGGGGGATGAGGAAGGGGGCAGTGTTGGGTCTGGGGGTGTGAGTGTAGCTGGGCAAGGGAGGGGGGAGAAAGAGGGAGATCGGTCGTCCGAGAAGTCAACTGGCGAGAGGGATGACGAGAAGAAGGGCGGAGAGGTCAAGGACGGGAATAATGTAGTGCCCGTCAAGACCATTTCTGAGACATAGTTTATATCTGTGAAATAGTACCTAATATATGACGTTTTATCATAATTAGCGTAACAAACTCAACGCGGCTTATGGTAATGGAGAGAATCAAAGGCGAAGTCAACTGGACACACTTCCTACCTTGATCTCATCAGTCAAAATATCTAACACACGTGTACATTTGCCGAGGCTATCTCACTCACGACCTGATTATACTGCTGCTAGTATGGCGTCGCAGTCCAATCAAGTCCTGGTAACGCCAAATGTACGTTCGATGCATGCGCCACAAGATGTTTCTCCTGCAAGCCTGCAAGACTGCAGTAGTTCGATTTTGCCTCAACTATGTGCACTTTCGTTGGGTCGCCAGGCTACCGCAAGGCGACCGCGAGGCAGAATTGCGAACATGAACCTGCACCCTCCGCAACATGTAGTAAGCTTGTTCCTATGTTAGACGTGCACCGAAAAAGATGCTCATCTTCGAGCCTACATCTTCGAACTACCGAATTCTGTAGCAAGTTCGCCCTCAGTCTCGCGATCATCATGGACAAATTCGGCGCGAAATGTCCCGAGAACCAAAATTCCACGGACTGTCTGCTCCGGGCTCTCTTGAACGTCCTCGCTGAGCAAAAGCAAGCACCACATGAAGGCATCGATTGGGATCCCATCACCTTCGGCTTTACGCTCTTGATTGGATTGGTAGCCTCCATGATTGCTCTTGCTACTGTCTTTCAAGCTGTTCTTGCAGGTGGGAAAGGCGGCCGTAGAGCAAATTCTCGAGCCATCGGCAGATGGTCGAAGTACACGACTAGGAAATGGATATTTTCCGAAATGAGCTGGAGCTATACCGCCTACACTCCTGTCCTGAGGTTAAGCAGTCTGTATCAACAATGTCACAATGCGACCGAAGAGAAACAGCCGAGAGAAGAATCGAAAAGGCTCGGGCTTATGCGCCAATCTACGTTGCCGTCTCGCGGTGAGGCTGGAAGCTCCAAAGGACGCATCTCGGGGGCAGCACCCTATCCAGCTACATGGCTTGGTCTTTTTCAATCCACTGGGTTAGAGAATTTTGATGACTTCGATCTCACGCCCACCACTGCCGACTATCTACCAGATGACCTCATTGCTGTCCCTGCTTCGGCCGAGGTTGGTGCCATTGTAACCATTACAGCAGCTGCTGGGGTGCATCGATTGGATATCGACACGGATCCATATCCCGTCATCCTTGGCCACAGCTTTCAATTCGATTTCCGCCAACACCCAGTTCTCGGCCTCATCGGGGCATTTTCTGAGTATCGTCGAATCAAAGATACGCCCCTTGCTATATTACCTACTCCGGATAAGCTCGCAGAGGCGGTCATGCATTCGCGTGGTATCATCGCGCCGTGGAACGATGGTTATGCTTGTCCAAATCTCAGAACACGCGAGACGGGCCGTGACTGGACACTGCGAAATGTACTCAAAAGTTTCCCTCCCATACACCAAGGGCGAGATTGCTTCATACTGGGCTATGATGTCCTCGACCAAAACCAAATATACATAGCCAGCTTCATCTTGGCCAAGTCACCAAAGTTCGCTCCGTCGATTTTCCCATCACCAGTGTGGAGGGGGCACAACCCATTCACAGCGATTGCTCTCTCTGGGAGATTTTGGTCGAAAGTCAGACTCCGTGGATTTGAAGAGCCAAACTGGGAAGAATGGCCTGACGGAGACTTGATTACGGACACCTCAGTCGGGGATCGTTTTTGGTGGCTTAAAGCATTTCGACACCGCCCCTACGAGACAAGTCTTAGCCACGTAGCGATCTACGCAGAAGATATCAGGTCTGGTCTATACAACGCCGAGTATAAGGTTATTTTACTATGTTTGAACCTTCTCGATGACCCTCGAGAGCTCCAGGCGAAGATGTCAAAGTTTCCATTTGAGGAGAGAGAGAAACTTCGCCAAGCCGTACACAAGCAGCTGGCGCAGACAGATAAATGGCTCGCATTGATCGGGAACGACGATAGACTTCTTACCCTTCGAAACCAGCATCTACTTTATACATCTGTAATCTTTTCACAAGCAGAGAGTATGACACATAGCGGCTTATTCGAGATTCCGGATACAGCAAAATCAAATCCAAAGCAAACTGAGCAGCAGCAGCAACTACCGCCAACAGTTCAGAGTGCTCACTTCAAGATGCTTGAAGCCCTACAATGCCTAATTGGAGGCTTTGATCTCAGCCGAAAAAGCCTTGAAGCCACCCTCAGGATAGAAGTGAATGAGTCGGCTGAGGATCCTCTCAACGTCTTTGAAGATCTACGATCTCACCTACGCAACGAATTCTTCGCTGGTTCACGAACTCAGATGGCATTGCAAGTAACTTCTGATGACCGAAAAAATCAACATAATTTCGAACGAAAATTGTGGGAGTCTCGGTCCAAGGTGAGAAGTTTGATAGGACCCAGATGCAACCTACGAAGCAACTTCTTCAATACCCACCAAGTACTGAGCAGATTAGCCACAGTGATGGGTTGTCATTCTGATTCAGAAAATCGACATGGGCAGAATGAGAAACCAGACATAATAGATGATGTCCTCATATTCCGCTCTCTGCTCATAGGGGTATTGTTCTATACAGCTCTCGACAATTCTAAGGTACTCGAATCAGGAGTGTGGGATCGTGTGGTTCCTATTATTTGAGAATATGAATAGAGTTGATCGGTGTGTTTATACTCATGATCGCTCAATTCTTCATTGATGATTTGTTCAATCAATTAATTGGATCCTTTGGTTTATTGGCCAGTGCTTTTGCTGCAATACGCCTTTGCATGTTCCCTTAGATCGCGATCTAGCTAGATTCTTGAGTTTCAAGCGTGTACAAGTTGCCATGTGACAGCCGAGCTCTCTCATCTGCCTACCATTGATATCATCACTCACAGAGACGATTTTTTGAGAAAGAAAGAAAGAAGGAAAGAAAATACCCCGAATTATGGCTCCAGTCTTCTCCACGATCGGCGGCGTCTGCGACCATTCTCTATTGTTTCCGGGGGGCTCGTGTCACAGACTCTCTGCCTATATGTTAGCCGCGCTGTTCGAAAACTACCTGAGACTCTCCAGCAGACTTACTTTCCGGCGTTCCCTAAACTCCTCGTAGATCCCACGGCAAATATCTCTTGCAGCGCAACTTCCAAGCCCGTCTATCAATGCCACACATTTAGGTTCCCTCTCCCGGACCAAATTCTCGGGTGCGTCTAACCAGGGCTTAGGCAAAGGCCAGTCCGAGAAATGCAGTAACTTTGCCTCGTTATACACGGCGACTGGATCCCAGGCCTCTTCGTCGCTGCCAAGGTACCATTGGTGGTTGTCTTTGCTAAACTCCCCCGTTAAGAGATCGTAAGGCCGGTGCGGTAGAACCACGGCACTATCCTGGTATAAGTCGTTGACAAGCTCCATGTCATAATCGTTTCTTCCAGCGTTGTTGATCTTGGATATGATGCGGGTAAATTCCACTTGGCTCGGTTGTATGAGAATGACTTGGGAGGACAAGATGTGTTTGTCTGGGTGAAGCCAGTATGCACGTGGCATGGCGACTGTGGTTGGAGGAAGAGAGAAGAGCTCATCCATGTGTTGTAGGAGAGTTGAATCCGAATCGATTGAAAGTACACGGTCGTATTTCGTCTGGTTGAAGGCAAGAAGTTTTGTAAAGGAGTCTGCCCAAGTCGCTAGATAAGAGCCCATGTCAGCTCCTTGTCGACCAGGATGATGATCCCGGAGGGACGACTTACGATCTGAGCCTGTTCGATGTTGAACAGATATTGGATCAAGCTTTACGTTGTATCTCTCTCGAGCAAGGATGAGGAGTTTGGCATCATCTGACCAACCCTCATGTTCTTTCTCATGAGGATCAGCGAGCATGACGGAGGGGTACATCAGAACTCGGTCGGCTTTACTCTCAAGGTGCTTCAGCCTCTCAAAGAACATGACCGAGTTACAGAGGTATCCTTTATTAGTGACATACTGGACGTATGCAAACCGAGACCAGTCTATAGACTTGACGTCAGGTGATCCGTCGTGTTGAGAAGTTGAGTAAGCTGCTCGAATGGCTTCAATCTGATCACGGTTGTAGACTCCCACACCTAATAGCAACAACAGCCCAAGAATGGTGAATGCGGTCAACTTGAGCTGTTTCAGGGCAAACACTGGGAGGGAAGGCCTGCCCTTCCGTGATGAAGGACCCGAGGAGGCTGCATCATCGGTTGAGTGGCGTGTAGGCAAAGTGGCCGCGGAGCCACTGAAACGGCATGATAAGAAAAACGAGGGTCTGGCCGCCAAAACAGTGATCGAAGAGAGGGAAACACGCAAAATTCCAGACTGTTGCTTGAACTGGGGACACAAACTGGGGATATAAGTGCGTACAAATACTGTGGCTCGCCCAGTTTGGGAGACATGCTTAAACATCTGCAAGGGGGTAAGGCCACGGGGAAGACATTGCCAAGTCCATCCAGCCGCCTTTTTACCCTGACCCTGGAGAGATTGGCAAATAAAGTCACGATTTATGCCATGCCTTGCGTGATTCCGTGATTCCGTGATTCCTCGGCAAGGACCGCGTGGGCAACGGCATCTGGCCTTCTTGGCCTGTCGCCGAGACGAGACATTGTCTTGCTGTCATTTTGCGAACCGAGATCTTTCTGAACCGCGTCAGGTACCCTAAGAATCTCTGCGTGGGTTCTCGGCCGAAGCTGAAATAAAAGCAAACAGGGTGTTTGTTGTCTCAAACCGTTCAGTTGGAACTGGACGCCATTGGCTGAAGCCAGATGTTGTTGCTCTCTGCAGGTCAAGCAGGGCAGAGTCCCACTTAATAAAGAATTCGCGCAAGCGAAATGCTTATGATTTCAGACAGTGCCTTTGTTCTTTTGGTGATATCTGTGGTTGCAATTTGCATGAGACAAAGGCTCTTTGAGCTGGTGATGCCCAATGGTGATGCTGAAGCAAACAACTCGAGCCGCCCTTTGGGCTCTCTTCCCCCTTCTACTGCGATT